ATCCAACCATCCATCCATCTATCCATCCATATATCCATCTATCCATCCATCCATCCATCTATCCATACATCCATCCATCTATCCATATATCCATCCATCTATCCATCCATCTATCCATCTATCCATCCATCTATCCATCTATCCATCTATCCATCTATCCATCCATCTATCCATCTATCCATCCATCTATCCATCTATCCATCCATCTATCCATCCATACATCCATCTATCCATCCATCCATCCATCCATCCATCCATCCATCCATCTATCCATATATCCATCCATCTATCCATCTATCCATCCATCTATCCATCCATCCATCCATCCATCCATCTATCCATATATCCATCCATCTATCCATCTATCCATCCATCTCTCCATCTATCTGCATACTGTTTTGTTGGTTTTCCTCATGTGTATGAATGCAAACAATTATAAAGACACAGACCTGGTTAACTTGATTAACTTTCCATTAGTAATTGGAATAATAAAGTAATACTAATAGTATCGTGTAAATAAAGTATTGAGACTGAAGCAGAATTCATATCGAAGTGTTAAATGAGAGCTGGTTAAAAAATTAGGGCTGCAACTAATAACCATTATTTTCATTGTGGATAATGCAATTATTTTCTCGATTAATAGTACAAGAAATATCATACAATAGTGTAAAGTTCCCAAGAGCCCAATGGGGACAGCTTCAAATTGCTTGTTTGTTAAATCATCCTTGACAACCGAAATAGTTCAAATTTGCTAACATAAATGACAAAGAAAAGCAGTGAATCCTGATATTTGTCGAGCTGAAAGAATTACTTAAAAATGAACAATTATCAAACTAACTGTCGATCAACCAACAGTTTAATCGGTTGACGGTTTTAGCTCTAGTATGAAACAATGAGTGTAATAATTCTTCTGATAAAGTTAGCATCTGATTCTGAAAGTCATCTTGTAAGCCAACCTCTTACTTTCTTTAGATGCACTACACTAACTTTAATGAGTCTGAAACACAATTCTTGGAACGCTCTCTCCGATCAAGTGCTGTGACGAGAATCGTCGACTCATTATCCAAACATTGATAGGACAAAATATCATACATGCAGTTGTGGTCAGTGTGTTTTACGAATTAAACGAGAGCTGCTGTGTGACGCGCGCGTGGACAGAGGGAGAGCGAGGGAGGAGAGAGCGAGAGCGAGAGAGAGAGAGACAGAGAGAGACAGAGAGATAGATATCATCTCTCTAAACCAACCAGTCAGTATCCCAAAAAACACAAGAAGCGCTGGCGACCTTCAATGAAATTCCCTCTTTGCTTCCGCCCTCCAAACTGACTTCGTCTCCGCGCAAACTTCCAGCAAACGTGCAACATGAGCGGAGACAAACCCCATGGACGTGCCACATGAGGCGGACCAGACAAACTGAAGCCACCGCGCAAAGTTTGCCCACAGAGACCACTGTGACACTGACCGAACAAACACACAACTTTGTGCGTGTTTCTGCTTTCCTGACACTTTTTGATTGTCGCCTGCCGGTTGGGATTGCTTGGATTCCGCGGTGCTTCTTTTATATGTTCAGCCGGGGAGACGTGTAGTTTTTCGGGGTGGTCCGCTATAAGGAAGGTGACATGCAGGTTCTCGGTTGGACCGTAGTTCTCCTGTGCCAGTGGATCCTACGGAAGGTAAGTTTATTATCATCCTGAGAGGAAAAAACTAAAACAAAAAAATACTCTCTCTTATAAATATCCAACCACAGAGAGGAGGGTGCTGCGTTTGGAAAGAAACACCTGCCTTCTCAAGGGTCAGTTTACTAGAAATCACTCCGCTGGGGGGGAAAAGGTACATGCAATAACGTTTTTAATCGGGTCACTGAAATATTTATCTGAATCAGAAACAGTAGGTTTGTTTTGATAGTGCCGTATTTTCAACTGCAAGAACTCCAGAAAATCTCTGTTGGCTGGAACTTGATTTAAAGTTGTTAAGCGTTTTAAATTATGTTTTGTTAGTTTGAATAAACGGGTGTGGGACTTTTGCCGGATCTCCAAACGCGCAGTTTTCTGCCGTCTGAGCGTTTCCCCTGTTATTCCCAGCCTCTCTTATCTATGTATCTATTTGCGCTCCCAGCAACTTCCTCTCTATATTTCTTCAGAAGTTAAACCCGCTCGTGGCTTTTTTTTTTTTTTATCTCGGCATCGCTATGGCAAAGTGTTTGTACGGCTAATTTGGCTCTGATGTTGCTGATGCAGTGTGGTTTAATGCGTGCGCGTTTTTGTGTATGTGCGCATTATCTTGCGTTTTTCTGATTGCTTTACACTGACAGCGGTAATGTATTTATTGTATAAAAATATCCACACATAACGGAATACAATACAACAGAATAAAAGAGAAACATTGTCTGACCCAGCAGATACACACCATCTGTAGTCAGTATGTCTCTGGCCTCAGCAAGAAATGAAAGAATAAAAACATGACCTTTCACCATGATCCTCCTCCTTTTCTTCTCCCTCACCTCTGACTCCTTCATTTTCCTACCCTCTCCTGTTCCTTTCCTTTTCCTAATCTGTTTTTTATTTAAGATTTAAAAAGCATCCATGAAAGTGTAAAACAAGTCTGATTAGCAGATAAACATCACTTAGTTGGAGTGTTAGGACTAAAGAGCTGAGGGGGCGAACGGATGGGGAACTTTCACTGCAGATTTGCTTGGTGGCCCACAGTATAGCCAGCATTCTCTGCAAACACAGATTTATTTTAAAAACACCCTGTTGGCTGCTATCAGATTGGGGCTATGTTGTTTTGTGACAGGTAATAACACCTACGCCTTTTCTGAAGATTGAATGCAAATCATTTCTGCTGCAAAGTGGGACTGCTGAGCCTCCACCACATGAGAGTGCAACTCTGGTTCAAGTATTAGGATTGACTTGGTATTAGATTATATCAGCCATGCTTTTCAGTAATGTGCCATTTGAAATTGTGTCGGATCGGGGTTTAAAAAAAATATATGTTAGGAGTCGGGTGGGAATAAGAGTCTTGTTTGTTTAGTATGCGGTGTAGATGACGCAGTGATTCGGCTGACATAAAATGACAAGTTCCATCCTTGGGAGCGCTATTAGCTTGAGGGATTAATAAGTGAAGAGGTAAAGGAGGCAGTGAAGAAGTGAAGGCAGGTGTAACATTTGGTAAACAGAGAGGAGAGGAATCTGAGAAGCAGACGTCAGCGAGGGGAAGGAATAAAGGGTAATATTAACCATCTCTCTAACTTAATTTCATGGTCTCTTTGAACAAAAACCAGCCTTAACCTAGAGGCCAGTTTAAGTACATGAGTAAGTGCATCAGTGAGCATTTGCAAGAAGAAGAAGAGGAGACGGGAAGAGAAAGTGAGAGAGGACGAGAATTCTCTCATGATAGCTTCAAACTCTATCATTTGTATTTTCTAACTCCGTCAAAAATGTCATTTTTAGAAATGTGTTTTGAAAAATGTATTTGTTTTAACACACTGGGCGATGAGTGGGTTCTCATATTTTTATTAAAGGAGGAAAAAAATCCTGCATATGATGTCCAACGCTGCAATATGCTTTGAAACGATATCTACAGTAACAGCACTACAAAAGAAGAAAAGATGTGTGAAAAGCTTCTTTGCTGTTTAATGCTCCCAGTAGGAACAATAGCATTAGCCGGCATCTCAACCTGACAAAATCCTCTTATCTCCCCCCATAAAACAACTAGCTATACACCCCAGGGATATTACAGCAACTGAGTCACTTTAATATCATTATGCTGTATATCCTTTCTTCCTATGCAATCGTGTCTCATAGTATATTCTGCATAGCTTTGCATTTCTGTCGCGGTGAAATCTGTATGAGAAATACAGCGGAGTGCGTTTCCACGCCTCATGTTTGTGCCCACATTATGTATTTATATTCACGCCATTGTAGGAAACCACAGATTAAACCAGGTGGTTGTTGGTTCCCCCCCCCCCACCCACACACACACAAACATACACACCCTCTATGTCTTTTTGTCCATCCATCTGTCCGTCTGTGATCATCTGAACCGTCAAACGGCCCAGTTTCAACAAGCAGGAGGCACCACTGGTCTGCTGTAATCTGCGCAAATTATATTCTCTATTCACAAACCGATTAGATATGTAATCTGTTGAAACATGATGATAGAAGCAATCACATTATTGCTATATCTATTGCTTCTGAAATTGTTCCCAGAGATCAAAGCATTCTTTAAACCCAAAAAAATGGCACAGATTCATCCAGTGTTTTAATGGATTCTAACATGGTTTGCTTAAGGTTAAGCAACAATCCATTTTTATTTAATTTGTTTTTCTCCCCTTTCAACAGCCCTGTGCCCCATTTTTGACAACCCATTACTTTTAGAAATGATTTATCACTTGCTTGGTGCAGTGAACAGTTCCACCCCAGGCTTGGTATTAGCCTTAAGGAGAGGGGAATTTAATTTAAATGTGTGAAGATGTCATATATTTTAGACTAATGTAAAATAAAACATCATTATGGACCTGTAGGTCCTGCTTTGTACAAGCACCTGTCATTACTGTTCAGGTTGAGGGGCTCATGTAGGACTGTAAACCTAAACATAAGTGCACTGTTGTTGATTTGATTAAAACATTTCTTAAAATGTAAAGACAAAGTTGGGTATGTATAATAACTGCGCCATAACCCCACTACTCTTCTGCAATTCTGAGAGGATCCAGTAATAATATTGAAGGCAAACAGCAGGCAAAAACAATAAGTACTACGCTGCCAAAATTCAATTACAAACAACGTGTGCACCCTGTGTTTGACTGACAGCTCGACTACACCTGAGCTTCCAAGAAAGGGAGCATTATGTCTGAAATTATTGATAAGGTGATGGTATTATTTTTAAGGCACAAAGGAAGAGAAAGCCAGAACATATTCAGGTTCTCTGACAGCTGCGGCTGCTGCTGCTCTCTGCTGAAAAGGCCTGTTGCTGGTGTTTGGTTCTCTTCCTGGTGGAGCCAACAGTTCATGTTGGATATAGGGATGTTAAAGGGGTTCCTCGGGCAGAGATTTGGCTGTTATTAAACCATAGTAAATGCATTTCATCGCTATTTTGTTTTAGATAATCTCAGGAAGAATCCTCACCTGTAGCACCTTAAAGTGAAAGTAGCACTGTATCACTGTGAAAATACTCCATTACAAGTTCAACTCTTGCATTTAAACTACTTAAGTAAATACACATGTATTATAATTAAATTATATATAAAGTATCAAAAGAAAAAGGTGCTCATAATGCAGAAGAGTTACCTTTCTGAGTGTTACTCTCTTGGTGGGGAGGGCAGGCAGCAGGGAAGGACCCAAACACAGATGAAACAGACGAGGCAGCGGGATGGATGTGGTGATTTATTGAAAATGGCTTTCAGGCTGAGTTACCAAGAGTCAGGCAGGTAACAGGTAATGAAAACTCCATACAGCAAAAATGATAAAGCGACAAAGGAAGTGGGCTGGTAAGTAGTGAGTGACTGATGAGGGAAGTGCAGAGCATGCAGGTTATCTGAATGTGGAAGTCTGGTGAAGAGGCAAAGAACTTATATTGAAAGGTGCTTAGCATTTGAAGAAGTGTTTCCCAAACTTTTCACACCTTGACAAAAAGCCAATGGGATGTGACCATTGGATTTTGGATTATTGCAGAAAAAAAGCTCTGTGGCAAACAAATATTCATTAAACTTACATGTTTTGTTCGGCAAGATAATCTTCACAAACGCTCCACAGGTTTGAAATGTGAATACAGTCACCAGATGTAAAAAGCTGACGTCACATGACTTCACTTCACCACCGTTAAGCTAAAGGCGAAGAGTTTGGATTGATGACGTTAAGTAGTCTCATTTGGCCGCCTTTTTAAAGTCACATAAAAGCTTCTCAATTCACGAGTTGGGATTTAGTTTACTGACGTATTTAATATTGTACCATTGACTTTGAGATGAGAGAACCGGAAGTGCAAAAATGCTAACTAATTTCTGGGTTTTAGGACTCATTCCTGCAGGACTCTATATCAAAGGATGCCCGTCTCATGTTTGGGAACAGAGACATTAATGCTTTGACCACAGCACAGGTTTTACAGCATTGGTGTGCTTTTAAGATACTTTAAGAAAGTGTTGGTTACAGCCAGTATATCCATTATAACAGCCGCATACAGCTAGCAGGAAACCAGCAGAACAGGATATGTCGTAGGGCGGCGCAGTCCAGTGGTCTGATGCACGTTCACTAAGCAGAGGAAAATAACTCGGATATTAGTGAACTTTACAACAGGACATAATGATTTGAATGAGGCCTACTTTAGTGTTCAGAATGGGAAGTTGATTTACCTAAACAGAATTTATCTGCTAGTTTACATCCATAGCCACAGACTCCGATCACAGGTGTTTTCAATGCAAAAGGGTCCAAAAATCCTAGCAGTGGTTGTCAAAAAAGCCCCAGAGCCTCATCTCTTTGCTTCTATACTCGTTGGAACAGGTTGGGGATGGCAACTGTTTGTCTCACAAACTGTGACAATTACTCTTTTATTGGATTATTATTACTGATGCATTCATGTGTAAGTAGCATAAAGCTAACCAATAGCTACATCTATAAAAATGCGTAATATTTTATAAACTGATCATGTATTTTGTATTTAAAATCTGAATCTACAATTTTAT